CAAAACTTTCGGCACAACGCAAAGCCGGCAATAGAGTAACAGCTACTGCCCCCGGGGAAGATGACAGATAGGGAGGCAGAAGTGCTAAGAAGCAGGGAACAAAAGAGCAATCATCGGAGTGACAGAGTACAAGAGCGGACACACTGTAATACCATGTAGTAGACTACTAACACTTGCCACACACCATTGCATTTCATTGATCACGAATAACTAGAGTAAATTGCTTACATGAGGTAACCTTAAAGAGAGTAGATAATAGACCGTGATGGTAGAGTACCATGCATACATGCAGGACATGCCACACAAACCAGGTGCAGGTCTAACACATATATCCAATCCAAATACATTTGGTCAATGTACCCTTGCAAATGCATGCAATTGTGAATCAATGCAAGCATGGTAATTGCTGTGGTACCTTTGCAAAGAGGTGAAACAGAGTCAATTTATCATTGGTACTCCCTCCGTCCAGAAATACTTGTCCTCGAAATGGTTGTATCTAGACTTATTTTAGTTATAGATACATCCATTTTATCCATTTCGAGGACAAGTATTTCCGGACGGAGGGAGTACCCAATATTTTGAGGGATACCTAAACTACCCCCAAGGTGGAAAATGATGAAATAAGGCACAAAATGTTGAAATATATTGTCCACCATTCGCCATCAGTTCAGACTTTGTATGAACTGGTTGGTGCATGAATTAGATATGCTATCAGAGCCAAGAGGTCGCAAGTTCAAGACCCGACAAACACATTTTTGAATAAAAATAATTGCAGCCTACATTGATGCCATATCTAAGGCTAGGAGCAGCCTAGACGTGAAGGGGGGGTGGAAATAAAATGCTCACCCTTCTGCATTAGTTCGGACTTTTGGATGAACTCCTTGTGCATGAGATCAATACAAAACACAGCGACAAGATTTACTATTCATCTAATAATATACACCCAAGAATTTATTTTCAAAAATTTCAACACAGAAGTGCTCCATTTGAACTTATTAGGGTGATACACTGACCCTATTTGACATCTTTGCAATGGCACCATAGGAATTACCGTGTTTGAAGTGATACATTAATAATTACCTTTGTAGTGGTACATCAACAATTTATCGAATAAGATATCAGTACCACAAATTTTGGAGTTTGACTAGACATATGTCCAAAACAACTACTTTTTGCAAGGCAATGCTTTAAAAAAGTTTCCATAGGATCAAGGGAATGAGGATCATTCCCATCATGCATAAGCATAATATTTGGATCATTGCACATTTAGAAATCTGATGACAATGAAGAACTAAGTTGCAGCCACAATGTCATGGGAAGTCACCTTGCGGAAGTCCTGGTCTGATAGTGAGTCAACCAATTTTGCTCCTTTAGAGAAGAATCCTCTACCAAGTGGGCTGTAAGCAACAATTCCAATTCCAAGTTCTCTGAAATTTACAAGTAAAATGATTATGATAAATAAAGCGCCCGACTTTTCAACAAACAAAATGCCCTGGATCCCTGGTTTTTGTATAATACTCCCTCCGTCCGAAAATACTTGTCATCAAAATGGATAAGAAGGGGTGTATCTATAACTAAAATACGTCTAGATATATCCCCTTTTATTTATTTTGGTGACAGGTATTTCCGGACGGAGGGAGTACCTGCAAGTTGGAATTATGTCTTCTTCGACATCTCTTGACCACAGTGACCACTCCATCTGAACTGCAGTGATAGGATGAACAGCATGAGCCCTCCTGATTGTTGATGCAGATGCTTCAGATAATCCGATGTATTTTATTTTTCCTTCTTCGACAAGCTTCTTGAGTTCTCCAACCTAATAAGGTGGAAGTAAATTTAGTTGGCAACATAAAAAAACAAAGGCATGGCTTACATCATATAACAACATAATAAATGGACAAGGATGAGAACAAAAGGACCAGTCCGACAGTTGTGTGTACAGATAAAGGACAGCCATAAGACACCAACCATCCGGTGAACCAGCCTCCGCCAACCATCTCTCTATTCTAAGAAATTTTACTTCTCTCACTTGCAGTCTTCACCTCCACTTGTATGTACGTATTCATAACATTAACCACAACAAATATAAAAACCACTCCAAAAACACAAACGGGAGCACGACTTCCTCCTTCACTAACGGAGCGGTGGAGGACGACGGCCCCCGAGACCGTGGACGGCGGCGCCACGATCCGGAGCTCACTCCATCGGATCCACCGGTCGGAACCAAGAACCAGCCACTGCCGGACTTGCTCATTGCGGTGTGTGGAGGAGAGGAGAGGACAGGTGAGGTGGCGGTGTGATGAGAGGAGAGGAGATGGGGTTGGTCGGCACACCAGCCTGCTTAAATAGCAGGGGCAGGCAGACCGATGCCACTTCAATGCGACGCAGCGGCCGAAGTAGGTTTCTCGGTTGCCACGTCGATGTGAACGCCGGTGCATTCAACCCTTTGGTCTGTTAGAATAAGTTGTGTAGAGGTAGGAGAGTAGTTTTAAACTTGTAATCTTCTCTCTTATCTCTTCTTCTGTTTTCTCTTTCTGTAACCGATTGAGTCGATCCTGATCTCTCTCTCGATCGATCTCTACCTTGTAAGCCACGGCATGTCTCTTATATATACAATGCGGCCCAGACGAAGGGTTCTACGCTTCCTCAATTACTTTACATGGTAACAGAGCCTCTTCCTCGATAGATCAGGAAAGATCGCATCTAGCTACCTCTTCGACCGAGCGAGATGTCCACCACCTCCGCCGCCATGACGGCCAGCACCGTTGGTGCGCTCACCACCTCATCATCCTCCGCCTTTGCCTCCTCCTCCACCTCCACCAACACCTCTCTCCTCGGATCACCACCCCACGAGAAGCTCACGAGGGGTAACTTCCTGCTTTGGAAGGCCATCGTGCTGCCCCAGATCAAGGGCGCACAGATGGAGCACCACCTCGACGCGCAGAGCCCGCCACCGCCGGCCACGCTCACCATCACCAAGGACGGCAAGGACGAACAGGTCCTCAACCCCGCATGATCCCTCTGGTACGCGCAGCAACAGCAGTTCCAAGGATTCTTGATGGGATCCCTATCCCGCGAGATCCTGGCACAGGTCGCAACGCTCTCGACGCCGGCCGAAGTATGGCATGCCATCCACGCCATGTTTGCTGCCCAAAGCCAAGCTCAAGCAATCAACACCCGCATCGAGCTCACGAATCTTCAAAAAGGTAACATGACAATGGTTGAATATCTTGGAAAAATAAAGAGCCTTACAGATGAAGTAGCTTGCACCGCCGCCGCGCTCTCCGATCCGGAGATCGTGTCCAAGATTTTTGCCGGCCTCGACATGGACTACAACCCTGTGGTCTCGGCTCTTGCTGCACGGGTGGAGCCCATCACGGTTCAGGAGCTGTATAGCCAGCTCTTGAGCTTCGACGCTCGTCTTAGTCTCCTCCACGGCACCAACGTTCGACGGTCCTCCGCCAACTCTGCCTCCCGTGGCCGTGGCCGTGGGCGCGGTCACCAGGGGCAATGAGGCGGCGGGCGCGGGCGCGGCAACAGCGACTACACCAACAACAGCGGCAGCAGCGGCTACAACAACAGGGCAGGGGGTGGTGGCTTCAACGCCAACAACAGCCGCCGTCCCCCTTCCTCCCGTGCGAAACCTCGCTGCCAGCTCTGCAAGAAGGCGGGCCATGAAGTTATGGACTGCTGGCATCGGTACGATGAGAACTTTGTTCCTGATTCCCGTCACGTTGCTGCTGCCATGCGTGAACAAGGAGGAGAAGGGGTTTGGTATGTTGACTCTTGGTGCAACGGAGTCACAAGCGAACTAGAGCAACTCGCCCTCCGTGAACAGTATCATGGCAACGATCAAATTCACACTGCAAGCGGTGGAGGTATGGATATTCAACACATTGGTCAAGCTTTTATTAATTCCCCTACGCTTAAACGTGATCTAATCCTAAAAGATGTTTTTCATGTTCCTCAAGCCGACAAAAATCTTGCATCCATGTCTCGTTTAGCCAATGATAATAACATCTTCTTTGAAACTCACCCTCGTTACTTTTTCATAAAGGATCGGGCAACGAGGGAACTCCTCCATCACGGTAGATGCATTGGAGGTCTCTACCCCATCACATCCGGAGCACTTAGTCGCAAGCGTCGTCAAGTCCACTCCGCCAGCAAGCCCTCCTTGGCCAGGTGGCATCAAAGATTAGGGCATCCGTCATCGATCATAGTTCAACAAGTAGTCAATAAAGGCAATCTCTTATTGTCCCATAGTTCAGTTAATGAGTCTGTTTGTGAAGCTTGTCAATGTGCCAAGAGTCACCAACTCCCTTATCCCAAGTCGAATAGTGTATCTCATGCTCCTTTAGAACTTATATTCAGTGATGTATGGGGTCATGCCAGAGATTCTTTTGGAAGAAAAAAATATTATGTCAGTTTCATTGATGACTATAGCAAGTTTACTTGGATTTATTTGCTCAAGTACAAATCTGAAGTTTTCTCTGTGTTTCAAGAGTTCCAAAAACTTGTTGAACGTCACTTTGATCGGAAAATTTTGACAGTCCAAAGTGACTGGGGAGGGGAGTATGAAAAACTCAACTCTTTCTTCCGTAGCATAGGCATTGAACATCATGTATCTTGCCCTCATGCTCACCAACAAAACGGCTCCGCTGAGCGGAAACATCGCCACATTGTTGAAGTTGGTCTCTCACTTCTTGCTCATGCATCTATGCCTCTCAAGTATTGGGATGAAGCATTCATCACTGCCACCTATCTTATAAATCGCCTCCCTAGTAAAGTCATTGCCAACACCACTCCATTGGAGCGTTTGTATCATCAAAAACCTGACTACAATTCTATTAAAATATTTGGGTGTGCTTGCTATCCCAACCTACGTCCATACAATCGCCATAAACTCGAATTTCGTTCTACTCAATGTGTGTTTATTGGCTATAGTAATCTTCATAAAGGCTACAAATGCTTAGAAGTTGCAACCGGGCGCATCTATATTTCTCGCGACATTGTTTTTTATGAGACCCTTTTTCCGTTCGCCAAACTTCATCCTAACGCTGGAGCCCTTCTCCGTGCTGAAATAGCACTCCTTTCCGATCACGGGGGTGAATTAAATAAAACTGACTGTGTGCAAAATTCCATCGAAAATAGTGGTTCTGATGATGTTTGTGCAGAATTGGGCCATGATTTTATGTGTGCAGGAAAAGACAGGAACGGCACAGAGCACGAGGCGGATTCACCTGGCAGCAGCAGCGCGCGATCCAACGCTGATCTGCGTGCCAGTCCTGCCTCTGTCGTCGAGCGATCCGACGCAGATTGGCATGCAGCCAATCAGGTGGACGCCAGCGTGGGTTCCCCCGCTCCAAGACAGTTGTGGCCGACAGCCCGCTCCTGGTGGACCCCGACAGCGGGGCCAGCCCACGCGCCAGCCCACGCGCGGAAGAAACCGCGTCCCCACGTGGTGCGCGCGGTACCGAGCCAGCCGCCGACAGCGCTGTCAGCGGGGCGCCTGCGGGGTCAGGATCGCCCTTGGATCACGCGCCTGGATTCTCTGCAGATCCTGCGCGGCTATCCTTCTTGGATCAGGAGCCAGGATCTTCTGTGCCTGACTCTACAACATCTCCTGCGCCTGGATCTTCTGTGCCTACAGCATCTACAGTACCAGAACCTCCTCGTCGGCATACTCGATCACAGTCAGGTATTATTAAAGAAAAAGAATATACCGATGGTACGGTCAGGTATGACAGAGTAAGGCGTGCTTTTCTCAGTCACATTGGTGAACCGACTCATTTGCATGATGCCCTTACACACAAAGAATGGAAAGAAGCTATGGATCATGAATATGATGCACTCATGAAAAATAAAACATGGCATTTAGTACCACCAAGGCAGGGTCACAATGTCATAGATTGTAAATGGGTATACAAGATAAAGAGAAAATCTGATGGAAGCATAGACAGATACAAGGCTAGACTAGTTGCCAAAGGTTTCAAACAGAGATTTGGTATTGATTATGAAGATACTTTTAGTCCTGTTGTTAAGTCAGCTACTATTCGACTTGTACTGTCTATTGCTATTTCCAGAGGTTGGAGCCTACGCCAGCTAGATGTTCAGAACGCGTTTCTTCATGGTGTTCTTGAGGAAGAAGTGTTCATGCGGCAACCACAGGGATATGAGGACCGAAGTACACCACACTATGTATGTAAGTTGGATAAAGCTTTGTATGGTTTGAAACAGGCCCCGAGAGCTTGGTACTCAAGGTTGAATATGCAGCTACAACAACTTGGGTTTACACCATCTAAAGCAGATACCTCATTGTTCTTTTATCATAGAGATAAGATCACTATATTTGTGCTTGTCTATGTTGATGATATAATTGTTGCTAGTTCAAGTGCACATGCTACCACTTGTTTGCTTAAAGATTTGAAGTTGGAATTTGCTCTCAAGGACTTAGGTGATCTTCATTATTTTCTTGGCATAGAAGTTAATCAGATAAAGGATGGTATAATTCTTACACAAGAAAAATACACCAATGATATACTCAAGAGAGTGGGATTGGACGAATGTAAACCTGTAAGTACACCAATTTCAACTTCAGAGAAACTTACAGTTGAAAGTGGAGAGGCACTTGGACCGGAAGATGCAACAAAATATAGAAGTGTTGTTGGTGCTTTACAATATTTGACTCTTACTCGTCCTGATATTTCTTATTCTGTCAATAAGGTATGTCAATATTTACATGCACCTAGAACAACTCACTGGACTGCAGTAAAAAGGATTTTAAGGTACCTCAAATATTCAGAAGGTCTTGGACTTCAGATTACAAAATCATTGTCTCTACTAGTTACTGCATATTCTGATGCAGACTGGGCAGGATGTGCTGATGACAGGAGGTCCACAGGTGGTTTTGCTGTGTTTCTGGGAACAAATCTTGTGTCATGGAGTGCAAGAAAACAGGCTACTGTCTCTAGGTCAAGTACAGAAGCTGAGTATAAAGCACTAGCTAATGCTACAGCTGAGGTAATGTGGATACAGACTTTGCTATATGAACTTGGAATCAAAGCTCCACAGGCAGCGAGGTTATGGTGTGATAATATTGGTGCCACTTATCTCTCAGCTAATCCTGTTTTTCATGCACGGACCAAACACATTGAAGTTGATTTTCACTTTGTCAGAGAAAGAGTAGCTCGAAAGCTACTTGATATTCGTTTTATACCAACCGGTGATCAACTTGCTGATGGCTTCACAAAACCTCTACTACAAGAAGGTTGAACGAGTTCAAGAACAATCTTAACCTTAGAAAAGTTCATTCGGTTCAGATTGAGGGGGAATCTTAGAATAAGTTGTGTAGAGGTAGGAGAGTAGTTTTGAACTTGTAATCTTCTCTCTTATCTCTTTTTCTGTTTTCTCTTTCTGTAACCGATTGAGTCGATCCTGATCTCTCTCTCGATCGATCTCTACCTTGTAAGCCACGGCATGTCTCTTATATATATACAATGCGGCCCAGACGAAGGTTCTACGCTTCCTCAATTACTTTACATGGTCACGTCCGTCTGCCCATCAATTCGGGTAGGCGGCCGTCCAGTCGCATCAGCTCTGCATCCACGCTAAGCGGCATGAATGTGCGGCGAGGTTTCTAGAGCAGAAGGTGCGGGAAGGGTTTTGGGCGGGGCCGTGTAGTCGGACGCAAACGTAGCACGAGTCCAAACGCCCGCAAACCTTCCCTGGGTTTGGTACCGGTTTGTGGGATTTTGGACGAGACCTTTTACAGTGCATCAAACTAATGTGAGCCGTCCATTTTCAGTGATTCAATGGACTAAATCCACCAATACAACTAGAAAAAATCAATAGTATATTTTGTTCAAGGGGTAAAATTGGAAGACTTACAAAATAGATACCAAAACTCTACACGTATTGGGAAATCCGTGTTTTTTCTTCTCCTGCCCTGACGAGACTGCAGGGACCGGTTCGGCCAAATATTTTCCGGCGGACATGAGATGCAACAGAGACGATTGTACATAGTCGATGGATCCATGCCGGAGGTCTTTTTGGCCGAGGAAATCACCATATACAATACATTGATTGATCGTGTCATGATGTACTAGTACGCGTATGTGATCAGCCGATTGTTTTCCGGCGATCAAGCCGGTGGCCGCGACCGATGCACACAAGCGACGCACGCACAAGCAGCGGCCGCACCTCCGAGAGGGAGCTGCAGCAACGACAGCGCTGCTGATCAGGACGCCGTAGTGGCGGCTCCGTGGCCTCCTGATTGATTTGATGCCCGATCACAGACATAGCTCCCACTTGAAGGTCATGGCTCTGATCGATTGTTGAACATGCACCATTGATGACCGGCGATGGCAACGACGAGGTCACATGAGGATGGCCACCGTGAGCGATTTTACAAATTAGGAAACTTTTTTTTTTGACAAAACTACCCCGCTAATTAACGGCTGAGATGATTCAATACTACTTGGTACCAGAGGTAGTATGATGTGCCGTAAAAAATCTCTTTTGGACGTCCGAAGGCGTCCACGGTGTTTAAGGGACACCATTGGATGGCAAAATATCCAGACAAGCCAGTCCGAACGTTTAGGGGAGGTTTGGTGATGGGCGTTGGAGTTGCCCGAAAGGACATAAGACACCAACCGTCCGGTGAACCAGCCTCCACCAACCCACTCTCTGTTCTAAGAAATTTGAGTTCTCTCATCACCAGCAGTCCCCACTCTCGTATTCATCACAACTATAACCACAGCAAATATAAAAATCACTCCAAAAAAAACCAAAAAAATAGTTGGGGACATGAAACTCACCGTGACCTCGATAGGCACCCTGGTGTCGACGCGGTGCTGGTAGTAAAGGTCAATGCAGCTGACGCCGAGCCGCTCGAGGCTGCCCTCGCACGCCGCCCGCACGTAGGCCGGATCCCCGCGAACCTCCCGCTTGCCGTCGGCGAACGAGATGCCGAACTTGGTGGCCAGCTCTACCCTCTCCCTCACGCCCCCCAGCAGCGCCTGTCACGAGCAGAGCATTACATCGAGCGCCTTTAGTGCGCGTCCATAAATCAAAGATCTGAGCATGATTGCAGCACATAACCGACCTTGCCGAGGAGGATCTCGTTGGTGTGCGGCCCGTAGATGTCGGAGGAGTCGAGCAGGGTGACGCCGGCGGCGACGGCGTGGTGGATGAGCGCGACCATGTCGTGCTCGGGCTTGGGCGGGCCGTAGAAGGCGGACATGCCCATGCAGCCGAGGCCCTGCGCCGAGACCTCCATACCCTGGGAGCCCAGCTTCAGGCGCGGCACCACCGTGACAGGAGCGGTCGCCATGGTCGTCAAGGTAGTGCTCCCCGCTGGTCTTGGATGTTGCCGGCAGGTTTTGGTCTGGCTCTGACGTAAATGGGGAGCAGCTAGGTGTTCTCGAAACTTTTTATTGTTCGTGCGAGTGTATGAGATGTTCTGACTTCTGAGGTTGGTGGAATGGCGGCATCAGTGTGGGACAGCCAGAGAGGTAGTTTTTCACCTCCAGCTTACCGTCTCATTCCTTCACCGTGCAAACTGGCCATATATTAACGGTAATGTTATCTGGCAGATGGTTGGGGGTGGCAAGCTTACGCACTTTCCTGATGGTTTTAGTTGTGATGTGAGATTAAACGGTGACAATTTTAGAAGGAAAACGCTCTTCTCTGAAGAAAGAAACTGTCACCCCTCGTATAACTAAAACTGCCATCTAAACATTCGCTAATGTCAACCTCTCCCGGTGAATGTTCCCCAGTTAAGAGAGTCATATACTAAATATTACTTCCTCAGTTTCAAAATAAATGACCAAACTTTGTACTAACTTTATACTAAAGTTAGTATATAATTAAGTCATCTATTTTAGAACGGAGGGAGTACCTATCATTAAAAAGACTTTACAAAAAATAGAAATTACATCTAAGTCTGTAGGGTGTTGAAGTCTTTAGCCTGTCTCAGCAGAGCAAATTTGTTGAAACTCATGAACTTTTTTTTGTGAGAAACTTTCAATCTATTCATCTTCAATTATGGCAGTACAAAGAACAACAAAGGTAATAAAAATTACAGGCATGTCCGTGGACCACCTAATGACGACTACAAGCATTGGAGCGAGCCAAAGACGCGCCGCCGTCATCGCCCCTCCCTCACCGGAGCTGGGCAAACCTTATTGTAGTAGACAGACGGGAAGTCGTCGTGCTAAAGACCCAAAAGACCAGCGCACCAGAGTAGCAACCATCGCGATAAAGAAAGTCATAGATTAGAAGAATCAATCATGTAAACACCTAAACGAAGATGAACGAAGACCGAATCCAAATAGATCCACCGAAGACCAACACCGATCGAATCCCGCAAGATCCGACGGAGACAAACCTCCACACGCCCTCCGACGATGCTAGACGCATCATCGGGATAGGGATAGAACGTGGGAGACATTATTCCTACCAAGGGACACAATTCCAATCAAGATGTTGAATCTAACAAGAACGAGAACGGGTCCCTCCCGCCGGCAGGGGGCGAGATCCTCCATGCCGCCATGACCTAGAGACCATCGGAGATGGGAGGGACCGGCGGCGGCGCCGACAGGAGGAGAAGAACTTTTCTTGTGGAGGAGAAAAAAGAAACCACTTTTCTGAAACTCATGAACTTATAGAAACAATAGTCAAGAATTCAATCAATAACTCAATATAGATCAAACGAGGCTAGTCGTCATGATCTACATATCAAATTGCTGCCTGGATTAGAAAAAACACTAGAGAGGGCATGTAGAACCCTCCAAGTCCGGCACGCAACTAGAGAACAAGGGCCATCTAGTCGTTCCTTATATAGTATAATTAATTTCAGAGGAGTACAACCTATTTGAAAGGTTTGGATACCCCCTTGAGGACACATTCTTTCTCTGGTTATTAGCTCACAACAAGGTACAAAAGATAACTTGAAGAAAAGGCATGTTGCTAAAACTACGGTCCATTTAGCATTTAGCTTTTGACTGTATGGTTGCCTCTAATGTTAGGCCATTTATCTCTAGTTTCAGTGAAGTTTCAATAGGTCTTTGAATCTGTTGCCATGTTTTGGAGTGCCAATAAAAAAGCACCTAGTTCTAACTTTGTCACTGTTGGTATGGAGTATCTGAAAACATAGGAATAGCATGTTTTTTACAATGTCTTGTGGATGGACATCAAACGGATTTGTTGAAGAATCCTGAAAAGCGAAAATGGTTAGAACATGGGTGATTTTTTGCCCTCCGGAAGAAAGAACAAATGGAGTGTTCCTGCTCTCACTTGACAATTATGCTGAGAGCACCCCTGCCTCTACAAGGTGGTTGAGAAAGGTCAATATCATGCCCCAGTTAGATGAACTGGGGAGTTCTCTCTCATGTGGATGACCATTCATTGTTTCACATCTTAGGAGATGGAGATGAACCTAATTAACCACCAAGAAGCGAGAAGATCTCATAGAAGCATGCCTTCCTGGGCCCAGCATCAATCATTGAATCTGATTGTTGGTCACCACTTCTCGTGGCGACGGACAAGGAGCTGAGAGAGCTTCCTGTTTTGTTCTCTCTCCTCGCGTCGACGTCGTTCTTTGCAATATATATTCGAATGTATATAAATGCATTTTAGTGTATTTGTTCATTTATTTCAGTTTGTATGTAGCTTCATTAATAAATATAAAACGTCTTATATTTGTTTACAGAGGAAGTAGGATTTTAGCTTCCCTACACTTTGAATCTTTTGCGTGCTTGCAAGCAATGCTCTGCCTTTTGCTTTAGCTCTGTTATTTACCGTTTTGCTAAACCTGAACATCCGTAGCATGTTGTGCACGGTTTCGCTCGTAGTAAACATGAACAGGAAAGTGACACCTTGATTTTCTAAAAAAACAAGCACGGAAATGATAAAATCCCTGAATGTTCAGGATGGCAAATCAAACATCTTTGTGCAAACTTTAGTTGACGTGAGGATGACGAATTTAGTTGAGAAGCACGGTAATTTTCTAACAAAAATTGTTATGCATCCTTCACTTATATAAATTGTCACAAAAAATGTTTGTTTTGTTATTCTCAAATCCAAACATTCAGGACTTATCTGCTCCCAAAAATTAACAAAATAATAAGACAATCGGGATCGAGTAGCTAGCACTGTCATGTGTCTGTCAATCGGTCTAGCCTAACTCGTATAATGTTTATTTGATTTTATATATATCTTGCACACCTTTTTGTAGTGGGTCAAACTAAAACTTTAATTAATTTGAAACAAAGAGTAGAAGCGAATACTCCCTTTGTCCCAAAATTTACATCCGTCTCTAGACAAATCTAAGACAAGAATTTAGAATTTTGGGACAGAGGGAGTATAATGCAAACCGAATAATAAGGATTTTTTTAAGAAGGATTACATTAGCTGGCATTATTATCATAACTATCCGCCTTCGTTGTTCAGTTGACTGCACTCAGTGTACAGAATGCAACAAATCAAGAATGCTCGTGATGATCGGACGACAAATATCACCCAAAAAATAAAAACTAATGTATTGCATGGTAGTGATGATAACCAAATCCAGGTTACCAGATGCAGGCAAAGTTTATTTCACCAGCCTCTGTCAAACCATACAGAGACATGCTTGAGCGATGTTCAACAAATCGTACCGACAAAACTGGATTCACTGAATCCTCCAACGACAGAAAAAAAATAATGAAACCATCGTATTGGTAATCCACCAATAACCGCCCAATCATATACACTCTACACCGGACCTTCCTAGGCTATAAGACAACTTGGGGACGCGCCCCACCCACAGGGCTCATTTAACAAATTCCATCAACCAAACGGAGCCGGAGCTCTGGACCAAAACAGCATCATAACAAGTGTGTAGTATCATCTGTAGGGCTCGCACCGCCCATAAACAAATAGACCGAGGCTGCAAGAGATTATCCCACGATGGTAATGTTGTCGACTTCTTCTATTCCAAGAATTGTGTGCCTCAGGCCTCCAAAAACAAGTAGACCAAGGCTGCAAAAACCCATTGCCTGCGATCACCAAATCACAGGCACTGGCCTGCAACAAAACTCAAGACAAACAACCATTGCTATAATTCATTCATCACTGTGCATTTGCTTTCTCCAACTTCTCTTTCTCAATTTCAACTTTTCTTTCCTCGGCATGCTGAGCAACGCCATTAGCCAGTGCCTGGTAGTGAAAATCCAGTGTCTGCATAAGGCTCTGGAACCTGGCTGGGTCGGATGCTTGTACAGCTGGACAAAATAATTATTGCCTTGTCAACAACTTTTGGGCACAAATAAATACTGCAAAAGAATGTACAGTGGGAAATATTCTCTACCTTGGATGGTTCCAACAAAGAAGATAAATGGATCAACCTCATCTATCGGGGTCTGCAGCTCCTCGTCATCACTAAAATCATCATCAGAATCATCATCATCATCATCCTCATCATGGAGCTGAAAACCTCTTGCCTGAATTACCACAAGGGTGTAAAGAGTGATCACAGGGTGCTATAAAAACGCAAAGAAAATTATACCCAAAATACTGATGTGACATCTTTGCTACAGTATCTTTTCACTTGTTCTTTGCAGACAACATTGTTAACAAAAGGAGACTGAGGAGTTCTTTCCAGTGCAGCTAACAGCACATGAACTGTGTCCGTGTGTACACAGGGAGGCTATGAAACAAGGGCAGGTGATTTTATGAAGCCACAAGTGAAGTGTGCGCTTTACTTATCATCTTTCCCTAGAGTACGAGTATTGAAGATATAAATTTCTTGTTGGAGATGTGCTATTCATGCAGATTAAGGCCCCAGCTCCAGGTACCATTCGCCCCTGCCTACCAGAGGGGAGATCTTCTGTGAACCTCAGGAGTCCAAAGCAAGGTGAAGTTACCTGCCAATGCTACCCAACTTCCCAACATACATATATTTGAAGCAGCCCTTTCGTCGCAGACCTCTCTTTCAGTGTTTCTAGAGCCAATAACATTGTTTTTAGGACTTATCTACTAATCGCTGCCAGAATCAAGCATATTCTATTCTGTATGCTTTTATGAGACAGATCCAGATCCTTAAGACTTTGAAGGATCAGGAGCTGGTTGGCTGGAAAATTGGGATCTGGAACTCTACCAAGCAGTCTACGTATTTATGTAATGATAATGACTTCCTCTTGGCAATTCTCTGATGCTCATATTTGAAGGTAATAAGCACCTTCACCAGAGATTGCGTTAGCTCTATTAACCATTCCATCATGACAAGCACTTGTAGATAAAATTCACATGGTGGGCATATAAAATAAAAATTAAACCATGCCAATAAGATCTCCTAATGCGAATTTTAAGATATGAAAACAAACCTGCACTAGCTTCTGTATATTAAGACTATTTACTTCATCCTGATCTTCATCATCAACCCCCATCTCCCCATCATCCTCATCCTCCTCATTCTCTTCTTCATCAGCATCAAATTCATCCACATCATCAGCAGCAGCAGCATTTTGCCTCTTAGATTCTGGTATATTAAGGCAAAAGATTAAGATTTAACTGAAGAAGAAATTTAAGCATTTCACTAATACACTACATATATAATAAGTTCTATAACAGCAAGAGGCAAAATAAAGTTGGAAGTCTTAGTATGTTCTTTCCTTTTTTTTCTTGCATAAATATGCAGTGGGAGTCTCTCCTACTTTCTCTGACAGAATACAAGGAAACTCTTGATTTGCAAAAGTGCGAAACAATATATGAAAGTGCTTAATCAACCCGGTGCCTGAAATCTCAGGAATATATGGTAGTTTTTCAAGGGCTAGCGCTTTATATCATACAATAAATAAGAGATGCACCTGCAACTTGCTCCTTGTATGCAACAAGCAGCTCCAGTGTTGCCTTGAAAATGCGTTCTAGAGCCTCTGCTGGAATATGATTAGCTGGAAGTCCAATAAGTGAAGTCAATCCTAAGCAGCAGACTTTCTTGTCATGCTCTCTGAAAATAAAGCAAAGCACCATTTGTCGAGTCAGTACAGCAAATAAACACAAAGGAATAATTTTACAGGCAAGAGCTAATTAAAATTACCTTTTGAAGTTCACCCTCTTGCCACTTTTTTTCACTTGTTGTAACATGACAAACCAAAGATTGAAAATTTCTGTCGCAACTCCAAGTTTGTGCAACATTGCAAGTGTCAACGAAGGATTGTAGTAGAATACGTTAGCTATCTGCAGTAGGCATGGAGAGTGTGATAAGTAACTTTGCTGACTCAACATGAGTACATGGCTGTCAAGAGGGCCAACCCACGCAATCAGTAGTATCAATTCTAGACACAGAAATCAGAAGGAACACATGGTCTGCCTACTATGACATGAGGTTGCTTCATACAATATGAAATACACAAATGTGCTCATTTAAGATACATGAAATTATATAGTGATTTTACTTTGAGCAATAGCTACGGACCTATGGCACTGTAGGCCTAGAAAACCATATGTGCTTTACCTTCACAGGAAAAAATAACATTTTACAAACAAGAACAAGGCATTATATATCTTGCTGCATTCTGAATATACCCCACATGTCAGAAATTATCTTCAGGAAAAAAGGCATGCAAAAATGAACCCCATGAACATGTAAAACGGTTGCTCCATATGAATCTAAAGTTTGAAACGACTGATCATAATATATAAAAATATATATGATAATGATTTTGGTTTATATAATTTCTTACAGAGAACAGTACGTACCCAGCATAAAGCAGTTGGACAGTCTATCACATAGTTCAATAAACTGAGGTTAGTATTGCTGATTAGTTACTGTAAATCATGGCAAACAAGGTACTCCCTCCTTCCATCTATATAGGGCCTAATGCATTTTTCGAGGCTAACTTTGACCAAATGTTAGAGCAATAATATATGACATGCAACTTACTACACAAAGCACATCGTCAAATTCGTATGTGAAAGGAGCTTTCAATGACATAATTTTCACATTATGCATGTCATGTACTATTAATCTTGTCAATAGTCAAAGGCGGTCTTCAAAAACGCATTAGGCCCTATATAAATTACAGAAGCCCTGTTTGGAATCAACTTATTTTGAAAAAAATGTATTAAAAAATTGCAAAAAAAAAGGTTGCATCTATGGAGTGGCAGAGCTCACATGTATTAGCAAAGCCCAAGGTGAGTTTACCAACTAACCGATCTAAAAATAATTTGAATAAGATTGCATTCATGCATATATATAATTACCTGAATGTATTTGGCTATCTAGCTTTATAGTTTGTGGTAAGCAGTTAAAGTATTTAGGAGCATTTTTTTATTGAACTCTTTGAACTCACCGGTCTACAAATAATTAACACAAGATTGCATGCATCCATGCACACTATTAAAATGCCACAGTTTATAAGAGTAGTCCTTATATCCAAATGGCTCAGATTATTTAAAACTCTAATTTTCCAGAAACAATGGTGTTTCAAGAGAGCGCCAAAATATTATGTATCCAAACGGGGTCTTAATAGTTCACTTTGGAAAAGTGACCAAAAGAAGGGAGGTAAATGTAGGCCAACAGTTAACAGCTCAGGGTTACCAAACCAGGCTGCGGAATACATTTTAAGTTGATCATTTATGTTTAACACTACACTTAGATATCGTCTATTTTTTAAGTACTACTCAAAGTCTACTCTACACTGACAGACAATGTTACTTATACACAACTGATACAGAAAAGCTAAAAACAGCAAAACCAAATAATGCATACTATGATAGAGATCTTTAGCTGGTCAGCATGTTTTGGAACAGATAAAGGGAAATATGCACATTTCATACCACTTGCACAAGGAGAGATTTCAGATAAGGCTTCTCTGCTCGACGGAGCCTATCAATCGTAAGCCTGAGATACGGCTCAACCCAATGATCAACTTGCCCTTTGCAGTTTTGGAAAAACACTTCAATGAGCTTGGGTGCCGGCACAATATCTGAATCTTCCATATTTTGGTCTGTCATAACCTAGAGAAATGTTGATATGCCACTGTAAGAGCAGAACTACTTACACATTCAGAACAAATTAAAGCTAAAAATGAATCAAATCTACACTCACAGATGACAGTCCTTTCCATAAGCATTGTTGATAATCAGGATCTTTGCAGGTAACAAAATGTTCAGTGCCACGAGAAATGTAATTGTCTAGTGGGACAAGAATATCTGCACGGCAACAAAAGTATTTAACAATGAGCTGCTGTAAAAAAATAATGTATGTCTATCAAAATTAATCCAACTGGTAGGAGATTGGCTATCAGGTCAGTTTGCTAACAAGTAGCCTAGCAGATAAGCACTTTATAATAACAGCCCACAGACCAGACCAGATACTGTACCAATTATGTCAAATGGAGCAAGAAAAGGCACAACATGCCTGCTGTTTATATATCTAAAAAAGAGAAACAACACGCCGATGAATTAGCGTTTTACCCAAAAGAAATCAGATACCAGGATGCTAAATTACTGTTTTGGACATCATGATGCTGGTTTTGGACTTGTTTGGATGTTGCGTTGTCTTTCGGATATTATTATGATTTCTAAAAAATACCATAGTACCATAGAACTTTGAGATCTTTACACGCAAAAGAAAATCACTCTTACATCCCATATTAATTGACGCTCAAACGGATGTATCTAGCACTGAAACACATCTAGATACATCCGTTTCAGTGTCAATTAGTATGGGACGGAGGTAACGGAGGTAGTACTTATAAACATGTTCATCCCAGATAACATGTCTTTCTAAAGCAACTACGGATGTCACTTGACTTTTGATCATCACCGAGCAATATTGTAACAGATGTGTACATGGTGGAAAAACTGTGGAGCATCCGTACTCGGTAGGGGAACTGCAATGGTATCCAATACCTCATCGGACACAGAAAGGTGCAGATACATCACCAGTGACATATCTGGCTGGATAAACATCAAGAATAGACAGTATGTACCAGGGATACTTCATGGACACACTGTCCAACAAGACAAAAAGGTTCAACCCTTGGTGGGTGTCCCTCGCATGCAAACACTCGCACGAGAACTTCCTGTACCCACTGGGACATGCCCATGGCGACCAGGCGACCACCACCAGCCAGCAGCGAGAATCTTCCCACCCCAACATCAAGTGCTTATATGAAAAGAGCAAGCAGCTATGTTCATGTTGTTCTTCAAAGTTACTATTGTTTTTTGGTTTCCTGATTCCAAGGAAAACTCATCACTGAGAAATTATTTGGACACAACTAATCGATGAGCATGACAAAATCACATGCAAACTAGTCAGCTAATTAAGACACAGAGCAAAACAAATACAACTTGCAAACATAAAGGAAATGGAAAAATAATATAATAAGTAGCATGGTATCCAAATAACCAAATGAAGACACCACACACAAAGATAGCGAAGTCCCTTCGTTCCCAAATACTTAGCACCGTTAACGAGACAGGAAAACTATGTTTTGGATGAAATATGACCATAGTACTTTCAGTTATATCTCAAGCACTTAGGGTGTGTTTGGTAGGGTGCATGAGAGTAAAAGTTCCCTTCTCGGCCCACTTTCGGGTGTTTGGTAGAGTGTATGAAGGGTGCATGAGTCCACACTAGCTCAACACAAATACACTAGGAGCATGCATGAGGAGAGCATGCATGAAGAGGGATGTTGAGATGAGCATGCACGAAGAGGGAACAACTATGCTGAGATGAGAATGCAACCAAACACACCCTTAAAAAGGTGGCAAAGTGAGGGGTGCGAGTGGAGATAATCAAGGTGATCTAGGAAAGTGCCAGTGATTTGGAAAGACCTTTTTCCTCAGAAGTGATAATTATTTGGACGCAGAAAGCGTAACAGACAAAAAGCAAGAATTCAGTTTCCAGCATATAACAAATTTAACAGCAACATGTTCAAAACTAGACTTACTCTCAAAGAAATCAATGGCCCAATCATTAAGAGCCTCCATCATCAATGGCCACAAGCTCCACATGTCCAAAGAAATTGTTGGTGAGTAAAAGGTCAGATAGGACACTATTTCTAGAACCTCTTCATAAACATCTGCAAAACAGAGTTGAATGCATCAGCACAAATTGAAGGAAGAAAAAACAAAGTTTATAAAATCAAAACTGATATTAACACAAAAAAACTTCATCTCCCATAAACCGCTAATAATTATCAAGTTCTTACATCTTTCCTAGCAAATTTAGGGGAGGGAGTGTAGAGATAACTGTAAATACCTACAAGCTTCTAATGAGCTGAAAGGTTTTATCACTGTCATCAAAAGGAAAGTCTAAAGAAAGAGAAGACTACCACAATTCAGAAACCAATTATGTGTCATCAAAAGGAAAGTCTAAAGAAAGAGAAGACTACCACAATTCAGAAACCAATTACGTCTAAGTTCGCTTTAACTACATCTATCCAAGCTTCTAATGAGCTGAAAGGTTTTATCACAGTCATCAAAAGGAAAGTTTAAAGAAAGAGAAGACTACCACAATTCAGAAACCAATTATGTCTAAGTTCGCTTTAACTACATCTAGAGGAATCGATATCCTGAACAACCAAGATTAGTTCCAGTAAGGGACTGACAAAACTGATGTGTAAACAACCAGTTGAGACTATAAATGTCCTTGAAATGTAACACACTCTGTTGTTATAATTAGACAACAAAATACCTTGACCATCCGAAGTCAACATCCTGCGCAAAATAGGCAACAAAGTGGGCTCTATTTGGATAAAAAGATGGGGAAGACTGCTAATGGACTCAAGGATTGTGCTTAAAGCACGTAAGCAACCAACAGCAGCCAAAGCACCAGAGTCCTCTACTTCATCATCAGCTTCTGAACTAGCCATGCATCTCCAGAAGGCAGCAGCCTATAAAATTAGTAAGCATGAAGTTTCAGGAAGGTAGATTCAGTGCAGCATGTGACCATATATTGAGTTAAACATAAATCAAGGGCCAACATACCAAACTCTGGCACAAGCCAAGGGCATATGGTGCCATCTCTTCACCAAATCTATCAACAATTGTCTCGAGAGTGAAAACAAGATCCTCATTCTCAACTTCACCCATAAGCTTAAAAAATTCTGCAAATAAATAACAATCAAACCACAACAAAATCACCATTCCTACCAAGGTTGAATAAAGTAGTTCTTACCATCAAGAAGCTGTGGAAGGATAGGACGGATCTCATCCAGATCTGTAGAATGGGACAGAAATTGTAAGGAACAAACAGAACAAAGTTGATAACTGACTAGGTATCAAGAAGCTCACCTTTGCATGCTTCAACGAAAGAACGGAGAGCAAAGACTGAATCGACCCTGACAGGAAGTTCTGGATCACGCAAACCAGAGATTACACAATGCATAGCTTTGCGAAAATTGTCCTGGTCTGAGAAGGTGATGTGCGCATACTGCCCTGCCACCCATGCTGCCTATTGTCCATATAATATATTAGTCTGATGTCACATAGAAGTAGCGAGTACATCAAGGAAAACTAGGGAAGGTGAGCATAACCATAGAAATAAAGAAAAATAAGAACTTTAATACTACTCCCTCCATCCCATAATGTAATACATTTTTTTACACTACACTAGTGTAAAGAAACGTCTTAAATTATGGGACAGAGGGAGTAATTATTAAACAAATAAACTTGGATTATAATAGAGCATATAAAGTGTTCTGTTAAAATAAAATTGAATAAAGGGTTCCCTAAGGATAGCAATTAATTAAAATATGACAAGTGGTCACAATGTGCAGTCAACTTTTGAGATTGTGGTCAGCAGCTCATCTTCTCGTGGACTAATACTAGACTTGATGGCATACTGGTTATGTTGCTGGCACCTAATATCAGATAATCTAAGGTGGTAGCCCAGGTGCTGAGAGTAACACTTGGATCCAAGGTAGTTACAGTGCTCTCTCAGCTCAAGACATTATTAGCATCTGTCACTTTGAACTGCATCTGGACAAATTCCCTTTCGGATACAAGAGAAGACGCCATTTTCTGGCGCTTATCTCCAAAACTTCAGTAGTCCAGCCAAGTCAGAGTATAAGGATTCCTTCTCTGAACAAATTAACTTCCATTGTCCTCATTTATTTTGTTAAGATAATGTAGCGCTCAAGAGTTGATTCTTTGGATTGAGCTGCAACACCATTGCTTGGCTACAGGTTACCTTGCGCACTGTCAGCTCCCAACCATGATTTCTGTCCTCTACGCACAAGAGCCAGAGACGATACAGCACTTCTTTGTGTGTTGCTCCTGGATCTGGCAGCTTTCAATCAGGACGACTGCATGCAGCTTGGAATATTCAGTTTGGAAGAAAGAGCCAGTTTCAATAAGAAAGAGCAGCTTTCAATCAGGACGACTGCATGATCTGAGAACGGTGGACAATGCTATCAAAACAGAAGTAGAACGTTGGAGGGCAAGCTTCACATTAGGCTGTGAGAGCTACTGAGATTAGCATTTTGTTTCATGTTGAAAAGTTGTGTCGTTGTTCCCTAGTGAATTGCTGGCTCATGGCTAGACCATCCAGAACCTAAAGCATGCCCTTCAGCCCTTCTCCTTAATGACAACTTGTTGCAGGAATACATCCCCTGTTCCTAAATATAAGACGTTTTTGCGGTAGTGGATAGAATATTCACAAGACACAATTAATTGTGTTTGGTTTTAAGATGAAAATTCCCAGCACCCTTTCTTAAACTATTATACAGGCTGTTACAAAGAGGAATAGTGGACAGAGGTATCTTGGAAAAGTACAAGTGAACATGGTAACTTTTGGACCTGAGGTGGGGGAAATTTCTGGGACAAATAAACATATTTCTAACTTTCTAATTAAAAAGGTAGAACGCTTCAATGCACAGGCTTCAACAAATTGTACACATGATCTGAATGTTTAAATGATAATAAGGAACAAAAGGTAGAACTGCTGGCCAAGTTGGAGCATACTACCTTCGCACGCAAGTGCCCAACATGACTACTGAACTCTGGAAAGACATGCTGAACTAACATTCGCTCTAGCTCAGCCTTGTACGGATCAGTTTGTTTCAGCCTATCACATAATGTCCCAATGGCAAGAAGGGCACCATCTTTTTGGCGATAGGGCTTCACTTCAATTGATGCCTCATTATACCTACCAAGTTATTCTTGAATTAGGTAGCTCATAAAGGTTGAGGATCACAGCACAAATCACAAAAACGATGCATACCTCATGAATATCTCCACAATAAATTGGATGAACTTTTGTAGGTTGCCTTTTCCCCGTTTTCTTACCAATTCGCTGACAAAATCCACAGCAGCTGTTCGAGGACTATACAAATCTTCAATTATATCTGTATGCAAAAAAATGGCATCATGAGTAAACAGATGAACACTGAAAACAGTGCATGTTACCTTACATCATTGAGAGGAATTTGATCATGCAATTTTACCATAGCCTTTCCGAACATACTCATGTGGATCTTCATCCCATAACATTTGGTCATTGTCATTGAAGCACATTAGTGGAAATATTATCTCAAAAAGAATTATGTCAATTTGTGGTTGCATCAGCTGGTACATGCTGTTCTTTGTGAGACTGCAAGAACAAGTAACCCATTACAGTTAGTCACCGCACATTTAATGATCACCAGGTACACATATTTTGCGTGGTAGATCCAACATGCATATGAGGAGATATCAGTAAGCTACAGATAAATATGCCAAACAAGAAATTTTCAACATACAGCTAGTAAATGTCAAACACAAAACTACTACGTTCAAAAAGAAAGAACATAAATCTAACAGTAGTTATTAAAGATACATTCTGCTAGGCAAATTATACACTCACAGGAAAGATGGAAGATGAAAGAGAATTTGTAACATTAGTAATCTCAGTAGAGCAAGTTGTGTTGCTGAAATTATCTAACAGGCATAGAGAGACATGCACAGCAAGCTGATGACTAGTGGGACATGCAGAAACCAGAAATTATGGAAGGCGGCAATCTGAACATTATGAAAGCTGGTTTGTCCTTTGGAAGTACATAATGCTGCTGCATAAAAAGTCTCCCACGAACCTGTTGGTGAGATATTGAAGGATAAGATTGATAACCCTATCAGGCAAATAGCCACCAGTGCGAATTGCATTGAGCAACTGTAGATGGCATCCCAGAATTTTTCCAGCATAGTTCTTTTGAAACATTTGAGCAAAAGCTTTACTCTCTGGTTTATGAACCTTCATATCAGCAAACCTGTCAATGACAAATGAGTAACCAAGTAAAAAATAATGATTTACGAAAAACAAACCAACTTCTTTCAATACTGACCGACTGTATAAACGGTTCAAGATATGGGTAATCCATTTCTTGACTTTCCACCAGCCCCAAGCTTTCCTAGCGTCAGGATCAGATGGTTGCCCTTCCAATGGAACTGGCCTTTCCAACAAGTTTAAGAATAGAACAATCCATGCATTGAAGATGTTTGGTTCAAACAGTTGCTTTGGAATTTCTAGCTGCAGAAAGCACATGAC